AATAGCCATTAAAACTGTTTAAAATTTAAAAAAATTAATAGAAAATATCCAAAAAAATCATTTAGAGTATTCCCCAAGTCGTCTCTCGTAGCTGCACTTCCTCGCTTATTTTCCAGCGTTTTTTTTGTCGCTGCTATAGCCACTTGTTAGTGGAATTGTATGCTGTCAGAGTAGAGAACGACCCGCGTATGCGTTTGAAATTTTCCTGTAGTTTCGGTGCAATATGTTCGGGCAGGCAGCTCACTTTGCATGCCACACACAAAAAAAAAACAGAAGGAAGAAGGAAGGCGAGGCGAGGCGAGGCGAGGAATATAAAAAATGAATATACAAAAATCGGGCGACAGGACAACCCGCAGCCAAAGCGCCAGCCCAGAATTGTTGCAGCAGATTTTGTATGGCTGCATATTGTTTTGTAATTTACGCGATGATTTATTACACTTGGGCACTGGTTTCAGGGACTCAGGGACTGGTATGGGGAGAGCTCTTTAAACAGCTTTAAGGCTCAAATATATATAAGTATATCTATGTCAGTGCATTCAAGGACTATTGTTAGAGAGGGGGGTGGGGTGGGGAGGAACAATGACAAACAAAGCATCATTATCAAAACAGCAACAATTGACACTTTCGATAGAAGCCAGCCAAATCACTTGATATGTAATGCTTTTCTGGTCTGGTCTGGTCTGGCCCATAAATAAATCACACTGCAGCAGCCAGCAGCAGCAGCCAGCAGCCAGCATAATCCATTGTAAAGTGTCGAAAAACTGCAATTGAAATGCAAATCAATGCAAATCGATACTTGAATCATCATCGGTCGCAGCAACAACAGAAACAACAGCAACGGCCGCATGAATGATTCATGCAACGCACGCGAGCATCATTCAAATGCAAATTTCCAAATGCAAAATGCAAAATTATCCGAAATGCAAAAATCACACTGGAGGGGTGCAGGGAGGCCGCTCCCGCTGTGTGATTGCAACAATCAAATCCAAATAAATGCACCGCAACACACAATGCAGCAGCAATGCCAAAAACTGCAACAAAGCCAACAAAAATAAACAAAACAAGGCAAACAACAATGCAGCAAAGGGAAAAACATCAACAAGAAGCAGGAGCAGGAGCAGGGGCAGGAAAAGTGCTTGCGGATTTTCGCACTTCCGGTTAACTGTTGCTAATTTGATTAGAGACCCACCAAGGGGCAGCGCAGGGCTGGGCAGGGCAGAGGCGTGGCTCGGCTCTCTCTCTGCAGCGGTGCAAGCGAAAAGGCCATAAAAATATCTAGCTCTGGCTCTGCCTCTGGCTGTGGTGGTGCTGCCAACTTATGCAAATTATCTCATGTGATTTATGCCCTGAAATTTGCTTAAAACATAAAAAAGAAAGAGCGAGCGAGAGAGCAGGCAGTAGCCACAAACTTTTAGCTGCTTTGTGGGAGGGTTTTGTCTGCCGTAAATTGAATTTTTTTCCAAATAGTTTTGTAAATCGTTTCACACGCGATGCGATGAGGCTGCCGCTGCCTCTGCTGCTGCTGCTCTTTTGTGGCTTTGTTTTTCGCATATTGAAATCTTTAGATCTGTACAATCCTTGCCATAAGCGTTTCAATCATATCCTGTCATGTTCCCATCAGGAAACGGGTTCTTGTGCTTTTGAGTAAACCCTTTCTATCCCATCCCATCCCTTCACATACACACATATGTACATATATTATTCCATTGTCATGCTAATTGGCCAGGCAGACAGGGGCAAAGGTTTTTCTCTCAGGATATCCCCCCAGGTAGGAGTCTCTGAGCTGTCCATGAGCTTAGTTCGTCTTAAATGCTTGCCGTGTGAAGTTCTTTTTCGCTGGGATAACGAGCAATCAGTAATGGGTAGCATCACCCACCCAATAAGCCACAGAATTACGTGAAAATATCCCCCATCCAGCAGGACATTCCCTGCCCCTCGCTTTGACGGCCAAACATTAACACGGCCTCTGACGCAATTTAACACCAATTACAATATCCGTTACATCTAATTATTGTTGAGCGGCCGCCCAAGACGTTCACTGAATTAAAGGAAAACAGAGGGCAAGAACAAACAAACCAAAACAAAAAAAAAAACAGACACAGGACATGGGTGGCGCCATTTGTGGTTGCCAGGACATTAACAATGGCAACTCCCAGTGCCGGGGCCCAACATCCCAGCAGCAAATGGCGGCCATAAAACAACAGAGAACAGAACCCCGTGAACCAACCATGAAATATGAGAAGCAAGGAAGCAAAAACGTAAGAAAACATCCGTGTGGGTGGCTCTAGGGGGGAGGGTGGGAACATTTCTTAATTTCCAACAATTTACGCTGAAAGCTTTCTACGCTCAAATGACGTCGACCAGGACCAGGACCAGGACTAGCACCAGGAAAAGAAAAGTCTGGGCCAAGGCGACGCAACGCGACGCGACGCGACGATGATGATCTAACGCCATTATTTTCCGGGCAAACGACAGGCAGTTGTTAATGGGGCTTACCACTTAAGCGCGACGGCATAAAATAAACATGCTCCACCCCTAGCCACTACCCCGCTACCCCGCTACCCACTGGGCATCCTTCTGCATGCTTCTGGGCCGTGTCCTGCCTGCTGGCGGATGTCCTGTGCTGGCAAATTAATTAACATGGCGTGCGTTTGCTTCCAGCGCATTTCCCAGAGCTCTCTCTCTCTCTCTCTGTTTTCTTTTGGTCCTTGTTTTTCTTGTCTTTTGGCGGTGCTTTATTTTTCCTTTTTTTTTTTGTTTTTTTTTGTTGTTTTGCTCTGGCTTAATTGTGGACCATCGTCTGGCGAGTGTCCTTCAGGGCAGAGGGTGGACATCCCGCGGCAGTTTAACAATTAAGAAACGTTTAAAGTTCGCTGAATTTTGGGGCGCGGCTTCCCTTTTTGATTACGCAGCAGCGGCAGCGGGCAGCCGGCAGCAGGCAGCCGGCAGGAAGGAGCCCCATTCCGGGCAGGACATTGAGCATACGCGGCACGTTGCCTACATCCGTTTGACACCTTTTGTGGCACAGGAAATGAGCTGGGCTGTACGTGACTTGTTTTCGTTGTGCCATCTCGCCATCCTCCTCCTTCTTCGACTGCAAATTGGATCTCCAGATCTCCACTAAGGAAAACATTTGGTGGCAGAACGGGGTATGCCAACGGCGTCTTTAAGTTGACCCGAAGCCGTGTGGCACAGTGTCCTGTGTCCCGTGTCCCGTGTTCTGTGTCCTGTGTTCTGTGTCCCGTGTTCTGTGTCCTGTTTAAAATTCCGAATTTGTGCACTCGCTCAATTTCCTTCCATTGCAAAGCCCAGATGTAATTACCTCTGCCAAAGTTCGTGGCCAAAGATTTGACATGAATTTCTCGTGCCACCGGGAATAATTAGTGTCCATTCAATGGGACACGGCTGCGGCCCGGCTACGTGCCAAACACAACGCCCTGCGGCAAGGACGAACGCTCCTTGGAGTGTCGAAATCCCCCCCCTGCCAAACCCCCTTGGCATAATTGCAATTAAAATGTTCGCCTGGCACTTCTCTCTTTTGCTACGGCGCGAAGCGGCGCGGATGAGAAGTGCAAACACTTTGAGGCAATTGCCGTGAACAGAAATAATAACAGCAGGAAGAAGATTGTGCAAATTAAAATATAATTAGAGACAAACAAGCGTCCTTTCTGGACTGGCGAAAGGACTCGGCCATAGATGGTGGCGCCGCCTAGTGTTTGGCGGCCGCATAACATTTACTTTACGCACTTTCCTTCCTTCCTTCCTTCCACTGGAATGAAGTTTTGTTGTTGTTGGCTTGCCTGGAAATTAGCGTGCGGACAGCCCAGCCCACCTTCTCGCTCTCTCTCTCTCTCTCACTCGCTCTCTATGTGCCACCGCGGCCTTCAGTCAGAGGGAGAGGGCTGCATAGGGGATGAAAGAAAGAGAGAGAGAGAGCGGGCCACCTGGAAAACTAACGAGCAAGTAATTTTGTGGGCCAAGCTAATGCCATGTAGCCGTGCTCCTGTCCCCTGTCCCTGGTCCTGTCCGGGGGCTCCTTGGCAGCGTCTTTAAATGTTGCCTTGGCTACTTTAAGCCGCCGTTTTTACTTGGCTGCCTCCTTACGCCAGTTGGAGGCGGGGTGGCTCTGGCTCTGGCTGTGTCTCAGGGGTAGGCCTGTGAGGGTCGTTTTCTTTTTTTTTTTGCTTTTTCTTTTTTGTGTTCACAGGCCACACCTTCCTTCAGGGGTGGGCTTTTACTTTTGTTTGCCTGGATTTTCGATCGAAAAAAAAAATGCGTACAAAAATAAACGTACACAAAAAAAAAAAAAACCGAAAAAATTCGAAATAAAATAAAATAAAATAAAGGCCTTGCCGAATGTGGATGAAAATTTCTGGCTGCAGAATCTGCTTTATGAAATGTCAAAAACTTCAAAGCGAAAATGCAAGGAAAATGAGAAAATATTCACTTGAGTGCGTTTTTCTTTCCTTTTTTTTTTTTTTTTGGATGTTTTGGGCTTATTGTTCGTGATGTTGTTGCTGTTGCTGCTGCCGCTGCTGTTGCTGTTTGAACTGTTGTTGATAGCCTTTATTAGTTGTTGGCCCAAAGCTTAGGCGCTTACACAACGCTTTTCTCCCCCCCGCCATCCCACTTCAGGCACTGTCACTCCACTCCACTCGCCCCCTGGGCACTTCCTGCTTCGTGCTCCGAAATTTCCGCGCTAAGGACACGAACACAAGGACTCCAACAAGCTGCCCCGTGCGCTCTGTAAATAGATATACATTTTTGTCTGCCTCTCTGTCTCTGCCAGTCCGCTTTTCTCGTTTGCATTCTTTGTTTTTCATTCGTTTTAAGGATTTTTTTTTTATTAAAAAATTTTATATTAAATCAATTGCGTGGAGATTTTCTGCTCCTTTGGGGGGAGGCGGGGTTGATGTGTCAGATGTGTTCATGCATAAAGTTTTTTAAAAGGCAGGAGGGGTTGGATGGGCTGAGGCATGCCAATTAATCGATAAATCGATTGCTTAGCTAATTGTCTTTATTAAGTTGTCAATAGTTTGACATAAACTGTCATAAATGAAGGCCTATAAAAGGCGGTTGCTGCAGGGAAAAAGTGCCATAATCCGCCCAGAACTCTGATGGATAAAAGAGCAAAGTAAATCCCTCTAGTGATAGCTCTTTAGATACAAGATACCAAGAAACATTGTCATGTCGGAGGGACCCGTTGAACGCTTCTGCAAGATCAATCGCACCATCCGTTTCTGTGTGGGAATCTGCGGCAACGATATCATTCCCGAGGACTATCGCATGTGGTGGCTCACCTACTTCGTGATTGGAGCCATCTTCTTCTTCTTTGGCTGCACGGTATACACGGTATATGTGGGCGTCGTGCTGGAGGGCGATCTCACCGTAATACTGCAGGCCTTCGCCATGGTTGGATCAGCCGTGCAGGGACTCACCAAGCTGCTGGTCACCATCAGAATGGCCGCTGTGGTGCGGCACATCGAGAGCAGGTACGAGGCCATCTACAGGGAGTACGGACAGCGGGGCGGCGACTACAGCAGATGCCTGGAGAGGCGCATCAAGACCACGTGGCACATGCTGATGGCCTTCATGTGGGTGTACATCCTGTTGGTGGGCGGCCTGATCGCCTATCCGTTCTTCTATCTGATTTTCTACAACAAGAAAATGCTCGTAATGCAGTTCCGGGTGCCGTTGATCGATGAGAGCACGGATGGGGGCTATCTGGTGCTCATTTCGATGCACGTGATGCTCCTGGCCTTTGGGGGATTTGGCAACTTTGGCGGCGACATGTACCTGTTCCTGTTCATCGCCAATGTGCCCGCGCTCAAGGATATATTCAATGCCAAGCTGAAGGACTTCAATGCGGTGGCTGTGCAGCGGTCGGACTACCAAAAGATGCGAATACTCCTCTGGGATCTGCTCGCCTGGCATCAGCAGTATGTGAGGTGGGTCTTGTGGGTACCACTCCCCCTCTCCAACAACTTTCAGCTCCCCGTTCTCTTTTTTTTTAGTATTCTACGTGCCACGGAACGCACCTACAGAATCGTTTTGTTTGTCCAGCTGTCCACCACTTGCGTGAGCATTCTCTGCACTATATCCTGCATCTTCATTGGCGCCTGGCCCGCAGCGCCCATCTATCTGGTGTACTCCTTCATAGTCATGTACACCTTCTGTGGTCTGGGCACCATTGTCGAGAATTCGGTGAGCTCAGCTCAGCTCAGTCGCTTTTACTTGCTTAAGTTCAAGCTTAATTCTGTTTGCAGAACGAGGATTTCTGCACGGAGATCTACGCCAACTGTTTGTGGTACGAGCTGCCCGTCAAGGAGCAAAAGTTGATCATTTTCATGTTGGCCAAGTCACAGCACGAGATCTCCCTCACCGCCGCCGATGTAATGCCGCTGTCCATGAACACGGCCCTGCAGCTGACCAAAGGAATCTACAGCTTCAGCATGATGCTGATCACGTATTTGGGCTATGAGAAATAAGAGAGATTCAAGGGCGGGGTTTAGTGGAGATTATTTAGTAGGGATATTAGATTATATTATTATTATTATATTATATTATTTTATATTATAATCACCTTAAATCCTTTGGAAATTTAATATTTTCTCCGGTAATAAATTATTTTATGCAAACTTCATTATTTTTTTATTATTATTTATTATTTTTATTAGCGAAACCATGCCGGATAGATAAAAGCGTTGAAGCAGCAGTGAGTGAGCGGCTGCATATTATATTATATTATATTATATTATATTATATTATATTATATTATATTATATTATATTATATTATATTATATTATATTATATTATATTATATTTTATTTTATTATAATCACCTTAAATCCTTTGGAAATTTAATATTTTCTGTGGTAATAAATTATTTTATGCAAAATTAATTATTTTTTTATTACTTTTTTATTATTTTATTATTGTTTATTATTTTTATCATTTCATTCAAACACTTTTAAATATTCCATTGCTGGAATATTGATGGAAGCTTGATTGAAAGTTCAGCAGAGTAGAAAGTGAAGCAATTGCAGAGTTTCTGCATATTATATTATATTAAATTATATTATATTATTATTATTATTAATTTAATTTAATATTTTCTCTGGTAATAAATTATTTTATGCAAATTTAATTATTTTTTATTACTTTTTTTATTATTTTTTTATTAATATTATTTTAGTTATTTATTATTATTATTTCTTTGAAACTCTTTAAAATATTGCATTGCAGGAATATTGATTGAAAGCTTGATTGAAAGTTCAGCAGAGTAGAAAGTGAAGAAATTGCAGAGTTCCTGCGGATACCCGAGGCAGTTATACGCTTCCACCCACAAAGCGTTGCCTGCCACATGCTTTTCAGCCACTGCAACACCATCCATAGCCTCCCTCCCTTGTACCACCCATAAGGAACGAGCAGGAACATCCGTGGCAAAAGCTGCTGATTAATTTTTGCTTTTTGTCTAATGAACTTCTCAGCAAGAATTTAATAAACAGGCCGCGCTTTATGGCACCACAAAAAGTAAAATGATGGCTCCTCCTGCCGCCGAGTCTATGAATGATGGGATAGTAAAAAAATAAAATAAAGAAAGAGCAGTCGCAGTCGTAGGAGCTGTAGCACAGAGCCCCCGCAAGTAAATGAGGCAAAAAGTATGAAAAAGCATCGCTGGTAAGTTATAAAAATTGTCTTTTAATGCCGCACAAATCCAGCAGATTGCCACGTAGTGCTAATAAAATAAAGTTATGTCCGTGCGGGATGGGTGGGGAGGTGGGTTGTGTCGCATAAAGAACAAAAAGAAAAACCTCTCGCGCGCACACCGCTGAAACGCACTGGAAATTCCACCGAAATAGTGTCTTTCCCCACACCCCACAGCCTCCTTCCCCTACTGCTGCTGTGTATTCATCTCCTAAGAATCCGCACACAAAAAAATGGCGTTGAAAATTGAGTGCGCGGGCGCAGGATCATGGCCGGAGCAGGCCGGGTTGGGCAGGAGGGGGAGGTCGGTAAACGCATCATTAATCAAATGTCCGAGGCGTAAGCACCGTTATTCATCATTGCTTATGGATAAGGTGCCTCCACCACCACCACCCCCAAACACCCAGCCTGCACCCACCAACCTCTTGAATCCTGTCAAGAAAGTCGGCATGAGTCGCCATATTCGTTGAATGTTTGCCCAGCAGAGTGAAGGACTTGCTTGAAGGACTTTTGGCTTTTGGGGCTTGGCATATAATGGCACACGGGGACCAGGCAATGCTGGATCTATGTGGCTGTACTTACGTATTGAAATCTATGTTCGCCGTTTGTTCGGAGCTGAAAAAGAAAAGGGAAACGAATTATTATATGGAAATATTTTTGGTAATTTCTAAACACAAAAGGAGGAGTTTCCAAGCAGATTGCTGGGATAATATGCAAGGATCTGCAGCAGCTCTTGCAGTATAAATTATGATAAGTAATTGCAGTGCAATCAAAATTCGTTGTAGACCCAAAACAAAATAAGGCACCATTTTTTTCTGAAATTTCTGTACAGTTTTTAAACTTTTGGCTAACCCCCACACACACACACACGTGTCTCAGGTCCAAGAAAATCCACAACAACAAAAAAATAAACTCTAGAGTAGGTTTTACTTTCGCCCAGCCACCCACTCCGCCCACAGCCTACTCTCACCCTCTCTATTCTACTCCATATATTACTGTACATTTCTCTATTTGCTCCCTCTCTCTAATCACTTTCTCCAGCCACCCTAATGGCGCATATCAATTTGGCTCAGCCACGTGCTGATGATTTCTTTCCTTTCGCTTTCGCATTTTTTTTTTTTTTGTATTTTTGTATTTATTTATTTTTTGGGAAGAAAATGTGTGGGTTTATTTTTCTGAAGAGCTCTGGTAGTGCATATTTTTGCGGCCTGAAAGTGCGCGGGATAGCAGGAGGACATCATAAATCAGCGGCTTACATTGCACAGAATCATCAAACAGGCGACAACTTTTAGCGGGCAAGCAGCATCAGCAGCAGGAACAGCAACAGCAGGAATAGCAGGATAAGCAGCAGAAGCTGTACACAGGAACTGCTAATGGAGTTTCTACATTAGAGATTGTTTCCCATTGACTGGATTTCTGGTTTTTATCGCAGCTTCAACATCGAAATGCTGCTCTAACACCCCTTCAAGTGTCAGTTACATATTGTCGGAGACAACAAAACGCTTTTCCATCAGCCAAAGGGCCAGGGAAAAAAAAACAGGGAAAGAACAAAAAAAAAACATTGTAGAAAAAAAAGGTTAGAAAGGAGAAAATTTGCATACGCAGCAGCGGCAACAGCGGCAACAGCGGCAACATCGGCAACAGCGGCAGCAATAGCAGGAGTATCGGCAGCTGGAACAGGATGCGGATGCGTCCTTTTTTTGCTGCTGTTGTTGTGGTTGTCTGTCCAGGAAGTGTGCACATTGAAAGGTTTTCATTTTTTCATTTCATTCTTTCCTCTTTTGGTGGAAAAAATCATTGTAGTCAAAGCAAAAAATTGTTGTCTATTAATTGGCCAAAAAGCTAGAACTCAAAGAGAGTTCGCCTCGTGACTCGACAGCTGCCCGTACCACCCCAGGCAACAGCAAAAAAAAAACTCCCAAATTAAATAGAAATTATATGCAAATTCAAATTGAGTTTTGTCCATTAACCCCTTGACTCGGCCTTTGGGCCGCCGTGGAAAATCATATTCGGTTACACTTTCGAGTCCTGTTTCTCTCTTTCCTGATTCACATCACGTCGACGTGTTTAAGTACGCATCATTTGCTGTTTTGCTTGTAATTTAATTGGTTTGGCTCTGGGCAACCAACACACACAGGTACAGCACTCCTGCCACGTATCCCCCCTCCTGCACAGTGGCTCAACTAATTTATGCCAGCCCTACATCCTTCCTACTGCCGTCCACAAAGGGTTGAGGTGGAGGCCACTCTGCGAGACGTTTTTCCACTTCCTTTGGCACGTTGCACGTGCAACGCCGTCGAGGAGTTGCCTTATTAATTATTATTCTAATTAATAAGACGCAGATGATGATGATGCCGGCAGGGCACAGAAAAAAAAGGATGCCTTGTCCTGGCAATTTGCATATGAGTGACACAACAGGACATTTGCTTCCTGTCACGCAGGCCCCCGAGGAGGACACAAAAGACGCGACACTGACGCTAGAGGCACGTTCTCCCTTCCTCTCTCTCTCGCTCTCTCTCTCCCTCTCTCACTCGTTCCATCTTCTCAACGGAAAGAAATCTCATGCATAATGCAATTGAAAAAAAGGCCCGTGAGAAACTCCCAGGCTGAAAATTATAGTACCCGAGCTGAGGATCCTCTTACGGGCAGCTGTTTGACAGTATGTTTTTTTCTTTCTTTCCTACGAAAAGTATTCAATGTATATTGCAGGCAGCATCAACAGGTTTTGCTCTGCCATCAATTTGGCATCAATCAACGCCCAGACAATTTGCCAAAATGCTCAAACTATTATCCTTCCCTGTCAAACACTTCCAAACACTCCCTGCCAATCCGATCAACCCCCTATCGATTTGCCATACTCGTCGTTTCTGCCAAAAATTGCCAGAGTCAAATGTCAAAGCAATTAAGTCGCAAAATCGAATCGATTTTCAGGGGCTCATTGTCAGGCGACGATTCTTTTTCTTTCTCCCTCTCCCTCTCCCTCTTTCCTCTTTCCCCTTTTGTCACTGCTGCATTATCACTGTCATGTTTGCTAATTTCTTTTGTTGTTTGCCGAGCTGTTTGCCATTTCACTTTCACCTTTCGCCTTTCATCCTTTGTGTGCCAATCGGCGAGGGTTGAGCTGGCGGTTGAGGTTGAGCCAGCCTTCTGGTCCTGGCCAAAAAGTGTGCCAATTTCTGCCTTCTAATTATGAGGTGAAGTTATGACAGCAGCAGGACTAAGCCACACTCACGCGCTCTCTGCTAATGACTGATGACTCTTGATTGAAGGGGCAGCCGGGAGGGGGTAGAAAGAAAGGCAAACAATTATTTGAAAATTTCTTTCATTTCATTTCATTTGTTGTATTTGTTGTTGTTGTTGTTATTGTACCGTTGCCAGGGAATCTCGGTTAAGCCTGGAGACCAGCGCGCCTTTGTTTTTTGCATAAAAACAATTTTCTTTATGGCAAACAAAATCCACACAAAAATAAAACGTGGGCTTCAGAGAGGCTCAGCGAAATTGGTTTTTAAAAAAATATTTCACATTTCAATCTACCCCCACACACACCCACGCACACACTTTTCCCTCTGTTCGCATCTCTCCTTCAAACTTATAATAAAAAGGCACAGTCCTGCTGCCACAATCTCCTGTATTCCCCGGCAGCATTCCTCCTTTGGGTGGCCACAACAGTTGGCCAGGCACCGCACATTGTTGGCTTTTTTACTGTCCCCACAAATAACAATCAAAATGTACCCCCACATCTGGCGTTGCCTCTGTGTGCCGTGCTGCCCTGGGGAGGCTAGGATCTCCCGCAGGACTGTGGAAATTACAGGTGCC